GCACCCTGCCGGGCAATGCCGCGGGGCATGCCGGGACTTGTAGTCCCCACCGCGCCACGGTGCCACCTCCGCTCATGACGGAGAACTACCGCTCCCAGCGTGCCGCGCGCGGCGCCGCCATGCCGCTGAGCCCCCACTCCCTCGCCCGCCGCGCTGTGGGGCGGGGGGCGCTCCGAGGGCTCTGGGGCGGGACACTCCGGGTTGCGACATCCCGGGACGGGRCAGAGCGGGTCTGGACAGCCCAGGACGGGACACCCCGGCGCGGCAGGGCCGGGCCCTGCAGCTGGCGGAGGCGCGGGGGCGGTGCTCCCGACGGCAGCCGGGACTTCCTGTGACGGCCCATTTCCTGGTCGGATGGGGCCGGCGGGGGGCGGCGGTGGGGTCGGTCCGTGTCCCTGACGGGCTCGGTGGCCGCCGGTGACGCCGCCAGGCAGCGATGCGGGCCCCGGGCCCTGCCGGCAGCCGGCCCCCGCCGTGACCCGGTGGGGCTGCGCACGCCGGCCCCGCGGGGCGCATGGAGGCACTCGCCGCCCTCTGCGAGGTACCGGGCAAGGTCCCTGTGGGTCGGGGCTCGCCGAGGGGCCCGCGGCGGCCCGCGGGGGTAACGCCGCGCCCCCGTTATCCCCTGTGGTTTTGCAGGTGTGAGTCCCCGGGGGACAGYGCGGCTCGGCCCCGCCAGGCGAGCGGCCCCGGGCCCCCCTCAGCGGCCGCTCAGGGAGCAGGAGGGGCTCGGGACCTGACACCGGCATCGCCCCCATCGCCGGCAGCTGCCGCCTCCTGAGACATGAAGAAGTTTTTCGACTCACGCCGGGAGCAGGGCGGCTCCGGGCCCGGGTCGGGCACCAGCGGCGGCGGCGGCGGCAGCAGCGGCCCGGGCAGCGGCTACATCGGCCGGGTCTTCAGCATCGGCCGACACCAGGTCACTGTGGACGAGGTGCTGGCGGAAGGTAAGACCCCAGTGCCTTTCAGAGCGCTCCATCTGTGCTGTTTTTCTCTCCCCATTTCCCTTCCCAAGCTTAAAGGGAGGCCTGGAACTGTCCCGGGCACACAACCTCCCCCTTGACCCCCAGATTCCCGAATATTTTATTGTCCTTGACAGAATTGCAGKCCAGTGGTGTCTGTAAGCTGACGTGTCAGGTCTTCCCATGTGTAAATCCAGTGTGGGTTTCCTGGATTCAGCTTTCTTTTGAATACTTTAGAAATTGGGGRGATTTCAGAAGTTCATTATTTACCACTTCTCTTAAACTGTGGGTTAAAAAAAACCCAGACAATCCCCCAAACAAAAATTATGAATTATTTTGGTGCAGAACAAGGTCCTGTAAATAAAGAAAGCAGTGTTCGTCACTCTTAAACTTTATTCAGCTGTTACCTCATTTTCTACCTTAAGCAGAGAGGATTAAAACACTGGAGTAAATTCTTTAACTGTGTCATGCACATAGGTAGGCTGAGCAGAGCTGGCTGTGACCTGGGATGTGGGATTTCTGTGCATGGGGAGGGGTTCTGCAAGGTGATCCCAATTGCTTTTTTTTYCCCCAAATAAAACAGTTGAAGACCTAAAAATGAATCACAGGGATTATAGAACTCATGACGTGTGCAGGCCTTGCAGTGCAGCAGGCTGCTGGTRGCATTTGTTTAATTGTAACCAGCTCTGCTACTTGAACTATCATTTTACATTTCATTTGTTGGGGCTGTAAGGAACCTCCTGAATGGCTCTGGCTGGTAACCTTAGACTCGACCTTCAGAGAGATGTTGGCCTCCTTAGACCTGCTCCTGGTCCCTCCTGCGCAGCATCCTGGGCAATTTTAGTCAAAACTGTGTTTTGTTTTGATGGCAAAGGMGAGGGGAGCTGCTGGGAGAGAGCTGAGTGGGAGGGCCTGTGTTGGCTTTTACAGAAAGAGCTCTAAAATGGAAAAGGGACTCTGTGTACGCTGCCTGTGTTCAGGTTTGTAGGAATTCACTGTGGTGAACAAGAAAATAGGTCTGTGACTGTTTTTTAGACATGTTTGCTGATACGTTCTTCGAAGAGAGCAGTGAAACCAGGCATTTAACTAGTAACTATAGTGATTTTTTTTCCTTGAAATTTGCGATATAGGTTTAYCTTGACTGATATTTCCTAGGCCCTTTTGGCCCTGGAAGCTTAGGACCTACGTGAGCTAAATTTGAGAAGCTATCAGAGTCTCTTTTTAATGCAGGGTGGCCTCATCCTGGTAACATGGGAAGACAGAGGCTTTTTTTGCTGATGAGTAATCTGCTGGCAGGTTCTGCCCCGTGCTGACAGCCCTGGGAAGCGAAGCCGTGTGTCACTGGGCTCTCCTGCTCAGCAGGGCTGAGCTGCAGAAAAGGTGGAGGTGGTAGCACAGATTGCCTGGGAGAAGTGCCTCCCCTCCCTGCCTCACTGTCCTGGAGGAGCCTGTGGGGGTTTTTCCCTGCAACTGCTGCTTTCTTGGCTGGCCTGTGGGATGGAGCATGGCCTAGGGCTGGCTGCAACTCTGGGATCCGAGTGCACCTATGAAAYAGGTGCTGTGTTCTGTTCCTGTGAGGCTCCAGAGGGAGTTCTTCTGGTGGAAGGTGCTGCCCAAGTATTTTCCTCACAGTGGGACTCTGCTGTGGGCAGTCTGAAATCCTTCTGCCTTCGAGGGGATAAGAGCAAGGCGGTGTGTTGATTTGCAGATTGTCACCTTTTGATGGGAGCAGAGAGATGAAAATGCCGTTTACCCGTTTACTCTGTAGGAAAGTTGGGCCATCTGGGGAGGCAGAGTGGGTCAGAAGTGCTGCAGCTCTGCATGCCCRTGGCTGAGTGTGCTGGTAAACAGCCTTTTCTCCCTGACTCAGCTGGAGACCTGGGGAGCTTGCAGGCAGCCCAGTCCCTGTGCTCCTGACGTCTGAAACCTCTGCTGGAAAACCTCTCTGTATCTGCAGTGATAGTTCAGCAGTGCTGAAGAGGCAACTCTTGGCTATTTCTGCTAAAAGGAAAAGTCCCCTGGGAAGTACTTTGTAAGAGTAGTATCCTGTCTGGGAAGGAAAGACCTCTCRTCCCCGTTGCTTTAGGAGGGAGCAGGGTGGCCTGTGTTTCCATGCAATGTGTGAAAAATTAAAAAAAAAAAAAAAACCTCAGGCAAGGGGATGTTAAAAAAAAGAAAAGGAAAAAAAAAAAAAAAAAAAAAAAAATCCATGCAATTTGTGAAAAATTAAAAAAAAAAAAAAAAAGATGTAAAAGTGGCTTAAAGGAGAGAATGAATAAAATGATGAATGATGTGGAGGAGACTTGAGTTAAACCAGAACTTTTGGAACTGGAAATGTGAGGATTTACCTGTGTCAGAGCTGTGCCCGGTCACCCAGAATTCTGCTGAGCAACCCTGCTGATGAGGAGTGTGCCCTGGCTGGGCTGCAGCACTGCACGAGCCAGGTGACAGATGGCTCCACGCACCTYTGGGCTCTTGTGTAGATCCCCCAAAATATCTGCTGTGGTTAGGTGCACCCTCAACCCCTGAAAAATAGTTGTGTCTGAATACTTGGCTTCCTGGGCAGGGAGGAAAGAAGTAGATGGGAGTAATACAGAAGGAATTTGAGGGGTTGGTTTTGGTGTTATGATACTRGTGAATCAGTGGGTTTTTTTACAAACAGGATGTTGCAAATAGGTGATTCCTAGTTGGGTCTTTGTAGTTGTCCTGCTCTAATCCATATAAGAGCATCAATAATCTCTTGAAAAATTCCCCTCAAAGTTTGCACAATGATTAATTGTGCTGGAAAGGCACTGCTGCTGGCCCTGGGGGTCTTCAGAGCCAGTTTTAAAGTAATATAGTGCCCCRGTGTGGGCTGAGGGATGTTGTGACTGGTTTTGGGGTGATTGGTGTTTCACAGATCTGAGGTGAATGCGCAGGAACTGTTGAAGTGTGGGGCTGAGTCAGGCTGCTGCCTTGCTGTTTTCTTTCTGAAGAGAAASGAAAACACGGTGACCAAATCAAATACTGTTTTTTGTTTCTGCCTGTGTGTAGGAAAAAAACCAAAACAACCAAAACCCACCCCAAAGCCTTGCACTGGAGCTGTAGGGAGGTCGGTATCCCTTTGATGAGGATCAAAGCAGCAGAAAAATTGAGAAGGATGTTGCCATAAATTTGAAATGTGCTACTGAGTTTGAGAGGTGTGCATATGTGGCAAAGTACCATAAGCCACGGGTATTCCTTAGACAGGGTGGGGATTGCCCCAGTGTCCCATTTTTGAGAGCCTCTGTGTTTTGTGTGACTCTCTGTACTCACAATATTGTAAGAGAGAGCTGAGCTGACCCGAGGTGTGTAAACATTGATGGGGCACATGTTTGAGCAGGGTTTTGTTTGTCTTGCTCTGCTTCTAGCAAAATTTACAGGCTGCATTTCTGCAGGTCTGTGAAAACTTACTCTTAAAAGTAGTGTTCTTTTTCTGAACACCTTTTTCTTGTAAAGTGTGTAAATAAGGGATTCAGGTTTAATAAATGTTGGATAGCTTGCTGAAGTTTTTCAGGTTTATGCCTGTTTGCTGGTAACTAGTGTTGATTTGAAAGCATTTAATGGTTGATACTAYAAATCAGTGCAAAGTCACAAACTCAGCTTATGTTTGCCAGCTGTATCTTTTCCTCTGTTTTGAAAATAGGGACATTGTGGGATTCATCCTGACTTTCCTTAGCAGGCCTAAGGCCAGTGCATGCAGAAAGCAGCTGGAAGAGGCTGTGAATGCCCAACCCATGCCTGGTGGGGAAAGGGGTTCCCTGAGCTGCCCCATTGAGTGGTTGGGCTGAATGCAGAGGGTTTCTGCTGATCCCTGCCCTGCTCACYCTTGGCACCTCCTTTCCTTGCAGCACCATAACCCGAAGTCACGGAAAGTATACATGAGCTTCTTCTGAAATTATTTCACTTTAAAGCAAACCCATCTGTGGCACATTTTGCAGATTTATATGGTCCTCAATCCAGTTCTGGTGTGGTTGGGTTCAAGACATTGCTTTGAAGTGTATTTTGTGATTTACTAMTTTCAGGCTTCAGCCAAGGGCTAGCTACTAATCAGCTGATCAGTGACATTTGGATTAGGAATTAAACTGTTTCTCCTCTTGGAATGGGACATGTGATTTTTATTTTTTTTTCCCTGTTGCTTTTTCTGTGTGTCTTGTGAGGCAGAACATGTATTCAGCACTCTGCTCTGCTAGGTAGGTTGTTTGATTGTGTGTTCTAGCAGTCTGGTTTTTTGAGGGTAGAAGCCAGRGGAACTTGTGAAGAATTCCAAGGGAGTTATTTGGTAAATGTTGAGGTATCCCAAGTGTGTTGGTGCTTTTAGCAGCACAGGTTTTGCTGGGACAGTGTGTGCTGTGCTCTGAGATATAATCAGGGAGGAAAAGCAGGTGTTAGTGGATTTAAGTGTTTAAGAAGTTGTGTAGGCCAGAGACTGGCCTGGCCTGGGCTGGCTTGTGAGCTTTGTGCAGCCTGTCAGAGAACGGGTCTGGGTTGTACCAGGGGGGCGCTGGTTCTTTATGTCCTTGTATCCTTCTAGCTGTGGTAGCTAAAAGCACACTTAACAGCAGTGTTAGCCCTGCACAGTCATGGGAGGGGAAGTCTTCCACAGTCATGATCCCAGGAAAGAATCATCTGTTTTAAACCAAAATAATCTCTTTTTTCAAGCAGTCCTGCTATGAAGGACTTGTTGGTTAGTATAAGAAAGCTTAGTTTTGGGATTCGGATTGTGGGTAATGCATGGTTTAACTCTCCAACTGGAGTCTTGCAGTAGTATTCTAAGTAGTCACAAAGGAATGGTTTACTAATCTCTGGTTGCAACATCAGCACTGACATTGTGGATCTCAGGAGAATGCACTGCCATAATGTTTTTATTGTGGTGTGGGCCTTTTCCCCTTTGTGCAGGAGCTTGTCAGCAGCTGGTGGGAAGTTATAAATGTGCTGAAGACAAGCTGGAATCCACTGTGGATTTA